TTTTTTGTATTTTTAGCAGAGACGGGGTTTCACCGTGTTAGCCAGGATGATCTCGATCTCCTGACCTCGTGATCCGCCCGCCTCGGCCTCCCAAAGTGTTGGGATTACAGGCGTGAGCCACTGCGCCCGGCCTTATTTGTAATTTTTAAACCACCCATATTGGCAAGCATGTATACAAATTTTCCAACATTTTTCATTGTACTTGTGCTGAAAGCAGTAAAACGTGTGTGGTTTTGGCAAACAGTGCCTCCTTTATAAATCCAGAGGCGCTTCAAGGAAGCTTTCAGAAATGGGCCTAAGTTTTTTAGCGAAACATTTGGTGAAGGAACTCATTTCCAAAGAACTTTCTACTTCCTGAAGGATGGAGCTGGAACCCCTGCAGAGTCATATGCAAGGACAGAAAATATTCCTACCTGCTATATCATGTCCAAAATGGCTTTTGCAAAGCATAGACTTCCAAAAGTATACATTGCTGCTCTTTGCCTTAAGTAATGTTGCCCTTCAGAATAACGACACAAAAGTTGCCACCCCATACCGTTTCCTCTTCACTGACAGACACACATATTGTGCTGTATTGTGCAATTGCTGGACAATCACCAACTTATTAAGAGTCAATGGAAGAGGAAGGCAACAAGAGGATGTGAAATCAGCCAATGTTGCCCAACCACCGTATTCCCTTTAAGCCCTCACTGACATCACAATGTGACACACTGAAGAGTTGGATGTTAGTGGTACATTTCTGGTCATCTTTCACTTAATGAGTATTTTCTAAGGAATATTAAGAAATGCTTGTATGCCTTGGGTTTCCAAGAGTTGCCACTGAACTGTCAAAGTCATCTACTTATATTTGACTTAACTAGCTCCCCAAGTGTTCATTGCCTATGATAAATCAAGAAGGATGCTGAACTCTGCGGCAGATACAAGAGAAGCATATATAACACATTGTTCCTCTCCCTTAAGGAATCTAAATGTGGTTGAGAATTAAACAAGCAGATACTTTATTCATTGTTATAGCAGAAGCAATTACATAAAAAGGGATTATATTGAATGTAATCTAAGATCATTCGTCCTCAAGCTTGTTGCCAAGTAAGATTATTTACCCTGGGGTGAGAAAAGTGGAAATAATGGGGCGGGGTGATGGCCTCCAGTTGGCCACAGCTACTTCCCATCTGTGAGGTGTGGAGCACAGGTGTCCTTTTTCATTATAACAAGGCTTCTATAAGGTTAATCCTGGCTAACTCCCAGCAGCAAACACCAGGGAGGCTTACTTTTGGATTTTAAAACAAAGTTTTAAAATTCTGAGAATTCCCTTGGGTGATTTTGATGTAAACCATGGTTACTAACCACTGAGCTAAGAGATTAGAAACATCAAGGGGAAGTGTCAATTCAAATTGAAAAGGTTTTTGCTCCCCATTCCCTGAAAAAAAAATAAAATTCAGAGGAAAGAATATTGGAAAAGAACAAAATTCCTGCATGCACATAGATTTCTGTTTTCTTCACATAAAAAGGAAGCTTCTAAGAAAGACTATTTAACTTGTACACTGATAATAGAATAAATTCGCTTTTAAGAAAAAGGCTGGCTCAGTGGTTCTCAGCCTTGGCTGCACATCAGAATCAACTGGGAGCTGTAAAAATCCAGAGGCTCTGATTTAATTGGCCTGGCATGCAGTTTTAACAGTTCCCTGGGATATTCAAATGTGCACCAACTAAGCTAGCTAAGGCGAAATTGTACCTATCAAAGGCCAGGCAAAGGAAGGCAAAGGAAAACACGTAAGTTCAATCCTTGTCCCTGTTGTCTTCAAAATACCTCGAGCCACCATTACCCACACACAAGTTTTGACCATCCCAGGTCTCCTACTGGGCTGCTTCACTGAGACATGGCTCCAGTCCAACTTTATCTACTCTTTATTAACCTTCTTCCTTGGCTTTCCAAGAGCCCCATTCTAGATTAGGGCTTGTCCAATCAACTAATTCAAGAAATAGCTGATAACAATATAGAATGATGGAAGAAATCAACAAAATAAGGAAATTCCCTCCCAAGTTACTGTTCTTGCTTAATAGCCACATTCCAGCACCTGCAATCAAAGAACCAGGAACATAGGAATGTTTGTCAGAACCAACGAGAAAGCAACAGCAGGCAAACTGTCCATGGGCAACTGCCCAAGCCTTTCTGGTGTAAGGCTGGCCCTGCCCCATGCCTTTCCTTTAATCTAGCCCGCTGGTCACCCTGTCATCAAAAATATTACAATAGTCCATGAATTCTTTATAAATCCTTGCCATATATTTCTTAGGATACTGTTCTCTTAAAACCTGATATGAAGGTAATTTTTCCATTCAAATGTCCCACTTCCCCCAGTGAAACTCAAAATCCATACCTATACCTCCTTTCAACTAGCCCAGCTCAGAGTCCCTCTTTATAAATGTAAATATGGGCTCTTCTCTGGTTCTTCCCTCCTTGCCCATTCCATTAATCACTAAGATGGACATTCAGGGTCCTAACATGAAGTAAATCAAATCCCCCAGTCCCATGGAGCCTATAGACAGTACGTGGAAATCTCCTGATGGTAACCGATTCTCTCCATTATATACTGAGCAGCGCTTTTAAGGCAGCTCACAGTGCAGCCAGGAAGGCAAGACCTTGGTCCTGCAAAGCAGCCTTGGCCTCTAAGATGCCTTGTACTAGTATCAACTAGCTTCCCCCTGAATATTCTCATGTCTTCCTGCAACTTCCTACACCAGGTGCTGGCCCTGGCTTCCTCAGTCATCTCGGCCCCTGTCTCTTACCTCTTGGCATCATAGGCTCTGGCACCTGGTAACCGACTGGGGCTCCTCAGCACTCCCCAGCCCTTGCCTCCAAGACTGATGGTGGCCTGTACCTTTGGACACCTGGACATCCCCCAAGGACTCTGTTCATGCCCTCAATCTGCATTTGACTTTTGCCTGCTGTTCCTGTGAACTGGCCTCTGCACGCCCAGGTTTCGGTCTTGCCGTGCCCTACCCACAGACTGGAATGACTCTTCTTTGCTCTCAGTGGTGTACTCTGTTCCTCTTCTGGGCGTGGCCTGTTCCTGTTTTCCTGGTTGTTTTGAAGGGAGGAGGGACAGGTAAAATGGAAGTACTTTTACCATGGGACAGCTTTGTCTCTTGGATGCCATCTCTTAGACAATTTATCTCCTCCGGCCATATTTTTCTTGAAACATCTTTTTTTCACTATGATATGGATAAAAGAGGCATTTTCCTACTTGCAGGGACATCTTCTGCCCTGTCAAACTCAATCTTCCTGACCTAAAGCCACTTTCATATCTACAGAGCTACTCATCCGTCTTTCACTCCATGAGTTTCATTTTCTGCTTGACTATTAACCAAACAAACCAAAAGTCACTGGGTAACTTAGAAACAAAAAGGACCTTGTAAAGGGAGAAGGCTAGACGGGAGCAGTGGTGGCCACTCACCTGCTTCAGTAAACATCCCTGCTTGATAATGACCCCTCTGAATTCTTCTTTCAGAATCACGTCGTCATCACTGGAATTCTCTTCACAGAAGAACCCACTGTCTGGCTGTTGGGAAATCAAACAGCAAGCTGACGTCGCCAGTCTTTGGCACATTGCGACTTGTGTCATCTCCATTTCCCCCTCCCCTCCAGCCATAAGGGCAGCCTCCTCATTTTCCTCCATTCCTGTGTACATCCCAATCTGAACTTCAAAGGTCCTTGATAAGCGAGTTTCTCCTCCTCCTTTTACTTGTTTCAGGGGTTGTTCCTTTCTTGCCTCCACTCAGGTGTGATTTTGTCAATATCCTTTTATTCTGGAGGGTTTCCCAAGCTGTATACTAACCTTAGCTCCATCTTCCTAACCAGGCACATGTCTGCCTTCAAAGCCTTCCTTCTCTTGGGATACCACAGTCACATCCTTGAAAGCAGGACAGGCTAATTTCTCATTCACAACACTATCACCAGCTCAACATTAGCCACTGAGGCCCCTCTTGGAGAAAAGTGAAAGCACGTGTCCAGCCTCTTCCCCTGAGGTTATGAGGGAATTGGGACTTGCTCAGCAAAAGTGGATGATGAATCAGACCGAGGAAGAGGAGCCACTGTGATGGGTATTTTTAGAATCCTGCATTGAAATGGCTATAAATGGCCAGATCAAAGGACTGAAGAAAAAAAAACAGAAACAGACTGTGGAACTTCCCCTAAAGTGAAATGAAACTCTCTAGGGTGTTCACTTCATGTTTATAAGAAGGATGGTTCTCTTAGGCAACTTCCTAACTTCTGTGCTCTGATCCAAAATAGAAACAAAACTGCCAAAATCCCCCAAGAAATCCACCATTGCTGAATTTCTCAGGTGGCCTAAGAATAGGTTGACATTGTATAATACAGTGTTTCCCAATCCTGGGTAAGCATACTGTGGGAGGTACACAAGATGACTGCAGGAAGTGACATCTATGGACACATTTTGAATTAAGAGTCACATGTTTTAATGTACATTTGGAACAATGCACCTAACACGTCAAACCTGTGATTTATAGCTTCCCCTCTGGAAAGGAAGTTGCAGGAGGGTGGGATTTTTGCCTGTCCCCCCAGCACGCTTGTCTATATGGCTGTATCTTCTTGTCTTAGAGAATGCTTGCCATGGACTAGGGTCTAAGACAGTTTTATAAAGGAATTACTGCTTAGAATAAGAATAGATAGTTGGGAGGCAGAGGCGGGTGGATCACTTGAGGTCAGGAGTTCGAGACCAGCCTGGCCAACATGGTGAAACCCTGTCTTTACTAAAAATAGGAAAATTAGCTGGGTGTGATGGTGCATGCCTGTAATCCTAGCTACTCGGGAAGCTGAGACAGGAGAATCGCTGGAACCCGGGAGGCGGAGGTTGCAGTGAGCCGAGATGACACCACTGCACTCCAGCCTGGGTAACAGAGTAAGACTATGTCTAAAATAAATAAATAAATAAATAGATAGGAAATAATAAACTTCAAAATATCCATTAAAAATTTTTTTTTCAAGTAAACAGTAGTATCCTTTTATAATAACAAATTCACTTGGACAGGGCGAGTGTTGTGGAGAGGGCAGCTGTTGAGTTGGGAAATGCTGGTATAACAGAAGCTCTAAATGGGCCTGGAAACTTCAGGTATTCCCTTGTTCTTCCTGGCTGACGTCCCTACCCGCTGCCTAACAGCGCTCTGTAGACGTCTACGACCTGAAATCAATCTAGAATCTGCTCAGGGCAGCCTCCCTTACAGGAAGAAGAGATGGGGAGCTTTTCTTACAAAGTAGTAGAAGGCATCAGGGTTGTCCAGGAAAGGGTTTTCAGCAGTTCCATCCACTGCACTCTTGGACATGTCTCCAGCAGGCTGCAGATACCCCTCATTGAGCAGTGATGAAGCGATCATGAGGCCTTCCTGGCGATTCCTAACAGACTGGTTGGATACTAGCCAATCAATGACGCAGTTACCTACATGGGACAAGCACAGGGAAGGTTAACTGTTCCTTACGGAAGAACAAGCCCCTGACAATCACCCCTGAACTGACTCCAGTGCACCCACAGGTCTGACTTGTCTTGTCTCCCCTGTTATTTCAAGAAAGAGAAAACAAAATCAGTGGGATAGATACCCACTAGAAACAAACAAACAAACAAACAAACAAAACTTTGTAAAGGGTTTTTAAGAACATCTACATGCTGCTTAAGAAGAAACACACGACCAGGTATGGTGGCACACCTGTTGTCCCAGCTACTCTGGAAGTTGAGGCAGGAGGATCACTTGAGCCCAGGAGTTCAAGACCAGCCCAGGCAACATAAAAAGACTCCATCTCAAAATATAATAACTTTAAAAATAAAAAAATAAAAAAGTCTTTGTCAAAAAAAAAAAAGCAACACATGCATCAAGGAAATGGGTTTTACTAACCCACTCACTTATCCCATTAATGGACAAACATTTACTGAGTACCTACTAGATGCTAGGTGCTCTACTGGATGTTGGAGAAATTCCCTCAAGGACTGTAAAAGGGCATGATGGGTGTAATAAATAAGTCTTGTAACAAGTACTCTGCTATAAGTCAGTTGCGAGACTACTGGGTCTAATCTGAAGGTGTGAAAGAGGTGGAGGAGGTGAGAGAAGAGGGTTGTGCGTGCACCATCAGGAAAAGATTCATACAGGAAGTGACACTGGGCAGAGGCTTAAAACATGAGTAGGTGTTTGCCAAGCATGTGAGGCAGGATGCAGAGGAACCAGCACAGGCTGAGGGGGCAGCAGTGTGAACAGATGCACTCAGGCACAAAGCAGCCCCACGGGGCAGGGGAGGAGTTGGTGGAAAGAAGGCAAAAGGAAACAAGAGGAGGAGGGAGGTGAAGGGTGGGTGGGGAGAGCTTTGATGGCACAGTAAGAAATTTGACTAATGGGAAATCATTGCAAGTTTTTAAATAGGAAATAATGTGATGGCTATATGTCCTAAATTAAAATTTGATGACATCACCTGCACTGATTGTCATGCCTTTGCAGAGTCTAGCAAGGACCTTGAGAAATCATTTAAGCAACCTTCTGCCTCAAGAGATGATTGCAAAGAGAAGAAAATGAAATTGACCCATACTTTGGATTATTAGCAGGTTACAATGAAGCTTTGTATTAAAAACAGCATGTTTGTTCTTACAACAAAAAAACGATAAATATTTGAGGTGATGGATACACTAATTACCATGATTTGATCATTGCACAATGTATATGTGTATCAGAACATAATTGTGCCCCATAAACATGTACCATTATGTGTCAATTTAAAAACTAAAAAATAAAAAGCAGTGTGTTCCTTACAAATGTAGCCAACAAGGGAGTCAGCATGACAGCCTGCCTGTCCTGTCATCCAGGCAAAAGCAGTAGGGATGCCGCCCTCAGAACAGGAGTGACAGCAGTTGGATAGCGAGCCTTCCGTGAATTTCATATATGAAAAGCTTTTGCTCACTTTTCTTCCTGTACAAGGATAAACTAAGCGACACTGCATTTCTTCTTTCTACCTTCATAGCAGCCTGTAAAGAGGCAGGGCAGTAAGTGCAGTCCTTATTTTAAGGATGAGAAAACTAAGGCTCAGGGAATTTGAGTGATCTTAGACCAAAGTCACAACTACCCTGGGCTGTCACTTTTAAGTGTTCCAACCCTTGCATCCATGCCCATTCGGTGAGGCATGCTGAAGCCTGAAAGATAAGTTTGGTCTAGTCTCCCAGTCGTCGGACATTTAAGGTCTCCCATCATGTGTCAGCACTGCGGGGTCCCAGGCTCTGCTGCAGCCTTCATCTCCCAGCCGAGGCCACCTCACTCCCCCATGAAGGCTCCACCCATAGAAATGTCCAGAATCCACCCTGACCTTCAACAAGAGGGATTTAAGAGGTACTAGCCCACCTGGAATCTTAGGGATTACAGGCCATTTTCAGAGGCCTGTACCTCTGTCACCACTTGTCACCATAAGAAAGCGGGCAGATCACCTGAGGTTGCGAGTTTGAGACCAGTCTGGCCAATATGGTGAAACCCCATCTCTACTAAAAATACAAAAATTAGCCACAAAAATTACAGATGTGGTGCACATCTGTAATCCCAGCTATTCAGGAGGCTGAGGCACGAGAATCACGCTTGAACCCGGGCAGCAGAGGTTGCAGTGAGCCAAGATCGTGCCACTGCACACCAACCTGAACAACAAAAGTGAAACTCCGTCTCAAAAAAGGAAGAAGAAGAAGAAGAAGAAGAAGAAGAAGAAGAAGAAGAAGAAGAAGAAGAAGAAGAAGAAGAAGAAGAAGAAGAAGAAGAAGAAGAAGAAGAAGCCGCCCGCTGCCCAATACTCTGGGACTCAGTAACACATTACACAGGAAATCAATCTGACCTAGATTGTGTGCCCTAGTTGACACTGAAATCCCCTCCTGTTCCCTTTGCCCAAGGCAGTTGCAGTGACCTCGGTCCTGCTAGAGTTAGGACCTTGCCTTGCTCTTGTCACTTTCTCATACCACTACCCACAGCTTGGTGTCTTGATCCCAAATCTCAGCCCTGCCTTGTCTGATGCTCATGGGCTGCTGCCTTGACTCTGAGGCTCATTCCCCTGGAGGACTGATCATAGCCTTTCCCCCTTAGCCTTGCCGATCCTGACCTGGACCAATTTCATGGATTATCTGTTGACAGCACATCCTCTTAGATTCCACATTTGCTGTATCAGCTCAGAGTTTTCTTCCTTTGATCTCTCTTGTCACCATAAGAAAGCCAAGCCTGGTATCTGACAAACTTAGTACCAAATTATACATCCCATTTTGCTCCCCCTGATGAACCATCAGCCCTATTAGGCTGGTCAGTTTCTTTTTCTAGATGCATATTCTGCACATGTCTGTCTCATAACTTTGTCCTCACCATCATCTGCCCATCCTCTCTCCTGCCACCTCATCAAAAATCCTCTCAAAAATATTTAATGAAATTCTACCCATCTTTCAGGGTCAAATTTGGGTGCCACCTCCTATTCATCCCATCAACCCCTGAGCTCTTTCTCTTTTCTGAACCCCTGGAATTGGTTGTACAGACATGTGACCCCTTAAAACACAATAACCACTTGAGCTTGCACCGTATAGCACTGAGTGTGTGCCAGGCACTGCTCTACACACATAATGGCAAGCCTGTGAGGTAGGTGCACTGTGATTATCCCCACTAAATAGACAGAGAAAGTGAAGCACAGAGAGGCTAAGTTATTGAGCCAAGGTTTTATAACTAGTAAGTTGCAGAGCCAGGATTTGAACCCAGGTAGTCTGGCTCTAAAGGACATGTTTTTAACCACTACACCATACTACCTAAACTCATAGCACTTAATACCTGACCCTATGCAGCCTCTGATAGCCCTAATATTGTCATTTACAACTTACATTGTATGCCTTAATCCCTGTTTATCGTAGTAAGGGTTGCATCTTATCCAATTCTGTGTCTATTTTTAGTAAGCCTCAACATAATGCCATTTATTGAGGAAAAAAACCTTTTGATTGGAACGTTAGCTTGAACAAATGTTAACTTGAACAAATAAAGCTTGAACAAAATCGTTAGCTTGAACAACAACTTTCTATTTTCACTCTGCAGGAGCTTCATTCTCAGGCTCACCAGGCTGCATTCTGGGACCCCTTCCAACCCCCATACCTCATACCCCCACCTCACAGACGAGGCCAAAGGAGGACTCCACATCGCCTTCCCAGTTGCCCTATTTCAGGCCCGCAAGTGCTTTTACCTGTGAAGCAGTGATTAAAAATCTTCTTGTCCTTCTCTAGATTCAGTTCTTTTATTCCTTTTTCAGTGTCTTTCATGGACAAATATAAGGCACTGCACAGAGATTAAAGAAAAAAAAAAGAAGAAAGAAAGAAAAGAAAACCCAGTTGGATGAGTGGGGAACATTTCAGAATGGTAAGTTCTGTCTGGGAGGTGAACACAAGCTCCCCATCCCCAGGTATCCCCTGAGCTTAGTCTCCCTCCATCAGATCATAAATAGTGGAGGGGCAGCATTCATATCTGCACGACTCTGTAGCCTGCACGGCGTTTAGCAATGCTGGGAGGTACTTAACGTCTCCTAAATTCTCTTAAATTCATTCAGCTCTTTGTTGATTTAATTATTGGCGCCTGGGATGGAAAGTTGCCCCAATTTAGAGGTCAAAGATGAAAGGTTCTCAGGGTCCATTTTCTACACATTCTAGATCTTTAATGTCCCACAATCCTCATGTGGGGAAAAGAAAGAGAGATCAGACTGTTACTGTGTCTATACAGAAAGAAGTAGACATAAGAGACTCCATTTTGTTCTGTATTTGAGATGCTGTTAATCTGTGACCCTACCCTCAACCTTGTCCTTGAAAGAGACATATGCTGTGGTGACTCAAAGTTTAAGGGATTTTGGACTATGCAGAGTGTGCTTTGTTAAACAAGTGCCTGAAGGCAGCATGCTTGTGAAAAGTCATTACCATTCTCTTAATCTCAAGTACCCAGGGACACGTACCCTGCCAAAGGTCGCAGGGACCTCTGCCTAGGAAAGCTAGGTATTGTCCAAGGTTTCTCCCCATGTGATAGTCTGAAATATGGCCTCGTGGGAAGGGAAAGACCTGGTCGTCCCCCTGCCTGACACCCGTGAAGGGTCTGTGCTGAGGAGGACTAGTACAAGAGGAAAGAAGGCCTCTTGGCAGTTGAGATAGAGAAAAGCATCTGTCTCCTGCCCATCCCTGGGCAATGGAACATCTCGGTGTAAAACCTGATTGTATGTTCTGTTTACTGAGAAAGGAGAAAAACGTCTTAGGGCTGAAAGTGGGACTTGCTAGCGGCAATGCTGCTCTTTGTGCACTAAAAAGGTTTATGGAGATGTTTGCATATGCATATCAAGGCACAGCACTTTTCCTTAAACTTATTCATGTCACAGAGATCTTTATTCTTATGTCTTACTGCTGACCTTCTCCCTACGATGATCCTATTATCCTGCCACTTCCCTTTTTCTAAGATGGTAAAGATAATGATCAATAAATACTGAGGGAACTCAGAGACCCGGTGCCAGAGTGGGTCCTCTGTATGCTGAGCGCTGGTCCCCTGGGCCCAATTTTTCTTTCTCTATACTTTGTCTCTGTGTCTCATTTCTTTTCTCAAGTCTCTCGTTCCACCTAACAAGAAATGCCCATAGGTGTGGAGGGGCAGGCCACCCCTTCACCTCATATCCCAATTCTTTAATGCTCTTCAAGGGACCATCTGTGGTAGACATTTGCCTTTAAGAAAGTGAATGCTTCCACTAAGCATATGTTTTATCTTTAAAATGATGAGATATAAGGCAAAACGGTGAGAAGTTCTCGTTTTTGTCCTTGAAGTAATACATCAAAGATAGCCTAACGAGAGAAGTTCTAAGCAACAAAACAGAAGGCCCCTTCCGTGTAGCCTGTGGCTCCCTGTAGTCCCAGCATTTTTCCCACTTAGTTCTGACAGCCCTGGCCAGGACTGTGGTCACTCGATGGCCCCCGTCAGCAGCTGCAGCTATACTGGGTGCCTCCTTGGAGCTCTTTGCCAAAAAGCTTTTGTGGTGAGGGGGGCTGCTGAGTCTCACTTAGCTCAGTTCGCGAACTCTGTCAAACTCCTGTGCCATGCCAAGTCTTGTGTTCGTCATGCAGAAGTGCAGAAGGGGTATCTTTAGGCTCCTCTCAGTGCCTCTCCCCATCCTGCCCTCCATAAAAACAAAATTCTTGTTGGACATTTTAAGCAGCCAGCATGGAATTCTTCCTGACAGGTCTCCTGTTTCAGGGAATGCTCAACAAAAAAGCAAAACCACCTAGAAGAAAAGGATTCCTAAAGAAAGGGGCTCATGTGACAAAGATGTAAGATATCCAGGAAGGAAGAAATCCCATTCCCAACCTCTGTCAGGGGCTAGATCTTCCTGTTGGCCTCTGACCACCTTTAGGCTACAACTATCACCTGCAATTCCAAGTCAGCCAACATCAGAGGCCATTAAACCAGGTCAGGGCATAAATGGCTTCCACCAGGATGGGTGTTTACCCTGGCTGGCCCTTCCTGAGTGTGTAAATGCGTGAACTTGAACTTGAAACCTTGCTTGCTTGGATGCATAGCCCCTGCCTTTTCCTTTCTACCTGAAGATCCTAAAGCTTCATTTCAAGACTGACTTATTATGGCTACTTTATAAATGCAATGATTATGTTTCTCTCTCTCTCTCTCTCTCTCTCTCTCTCTCTCTCATACCCAGTGTGAGGGAATTTGTACTCCATTAGCCTCCTCTCCTCAGCTGGTAGGCCTTGGATCACTCCTTCAGACCCAGGTAAATATTTTAGTACACCAAGTGCTAGTATTGACCTGGCAGAGTGGATACAACATCAGAGGCGGCTAGAGCAAGCCTTGGAGCGGGATCTGCTATGTTTGTGTCTATCAGAAGGAACGGGTAAAGAGAAGTAAACATAGAAAATCACCCTAAGTCAATGGTTTCTGGCAGTCGAATGGACCTCCTGGTAGATTTCCTGGCAAACTTCTGGCCTCCTTCAATGCATTTAATGGCCTTCTTGATATCCCGAACCCAGGCGTCTCTCTCCTCCAGGAAGGCTGCCTGGAAGAAGTGGTCCTGCTGTTTGGTCGTAGTGATCTTAAACACAAACTGAAAATCAAAACATGTCCCATTAGGAATGACTTATTTCAAGGGCTTGGGGCCCCTCATGAAGCAGAGGCCATTGGCCTAAAACTGTTCTGGTCAAGAGAAACCCAAATGCCAGGGTGGGGTGTGGGTGGTGGTGAGAGGGACCAGCCCAAGGAGCACCACCCACATTGTAGGCGATGCTTGCACCAAAAGGTGAGTGCCTGACCAGGGGTTCACGGCAGCTCGTGATGTCAACTCACCATCCTTTTGCCAAAGTCCTGACAAGGGCTAGTCAGAGTGCTCCCTTTCAGCGGGATCATTCCTTTGGGGCTGTTGTCACTTTTCTTCTTATAGAATTCAATTCCATCTTCTAACAGTACAACCCACATGGGTTTCCACGTATTGAACACGCTCCCCTGTAATGACAACCAAAATAGCTGAGATGGGCAGGGCTCTTTGCAAACTGTATTTTCTTCCTAACAGGAAAGATTCTATATTTACTTACAGTTGGTTTTTAAAATGTTTTGTGACATCATCTCTGTTCCTTCAACACAAATCCTCTGAAATCAGTGGCTTCTTGGGGAGCCATTCTCATTTCTACTCCCAGTTCTTTGCCCAAGCTGACCCCGCTCTCTGGAATACTCCTTCCCAACTCTGCCATCTCCTCTTTCTCCCCTTGCCTAACCTCTCCCCATCCTTCAGGGCTCAGCTTAGCCACCTCATGGATGAGGCTTCCCAAACTGCACAGACCGACCCTGATCTCAGGGGCGCCTCCCGCTTTTCTCACTGAATGTGCCACACGTCCTGGAACTTGGTTATATACTTCCTCATATAGTTCTTCAATTGTCTTCAGCATGGTGATCTTTCCTTCTCCGTGGCAATTGCACTATCAGGTACTTTCCTTAGCTGATGATACTGAGCACACAGGGGATGTTCATTAAAATAATACAAAAGAAGATCATTTCCCAAACTGCCAAACGCTAGCAGCTATCACATTTCATTGAAAAGAGCAACCAGTCCTTCTTATTGTCTACTTCATCCCCAACCAAACCCTTTCCTGCTATGATTTCCCCTGCACCTTCCTTTTCATGCCTGGTTCACACCATTAAGAACCACAAAAGAGCCACCTCATAGTAACATTCTCACCCCCGCTATGTGTAAGAACTGCCAGCAGATCTTGCTTCTGAAACTACATCTTACACATGATCTTAGAGTATAGTTCTTTTTTTGAACGATATCATGTATTTTTACATGTTTAACTGCCTACTTTGAGGAGAAAAATCACAAAAATGATAATTATTGGTGTTTGGTTGGAAGGGTTTTATTTGTAAGGGTTTTAGAACATTTCAATTCTTGGGAGGGTTAGTCAGAATTGGAGAAAGAATTAAATATCCTAAAGCCTAGTGGTTTTCAAAATATGGCCTGCAAACCAACTAATCTGACTCACTGAAGACAGGTAAAAATAAAAGCTGGTTTTACCCCAAATCTGCCTTCACTTATAAGCTCTGGCAACACTGCTGAGATGGCTGGTTGAATCTTAGATGATCTAGCTCAAGTACTATCTCTCTCTCTGTCTCTCTGTTATTTTATTTTATTTTATTTTATTTTATTTTATTGAGACATGTCCTCTCTGTGTCACCCAGGCTGGAGTGCAATTGCACAATCTCAGCTCACTGCAACCTCTGCCTCTCAGGTTCAAGTGATTCTCCCACCTCGGCCTCCCAGGTAGCTGGGATTACAGGTATGCACGACCACACTCAGCTAACATTTGTGGTTTTTTTTTTAGTAGAGACAAGGTTTCACCATGTTGGCCAGGCTGGTCTTGAACTCCTGATCTCAAGTGATGCTTCTGCCTCGGCCTCCCAGAGTGCTGGGATTACAGGTGTGAACCACCACACCCAGCTGGCTCTATTGCTTTCTTACTGCCCACACTTGTGTAAGCCACTTGCCCTCTCTAAGGCTCAGTTCCCAGCACTAAAATGATAAGAATGACTACCTCCGAGATTTCTAGCATGTATGAAATGAAATAATTTGGATAAGACTTTATAAGTTCAAATGTGCTCTACAAATGAGAGGTTGTATTATTAAATATCTTCACAGATGGCCATGCATGAATGTCTTCCATGCTTTGAGTTTCCAACACAATAAACAGCTGCTCCTTCATCCTCCCTATTCTCAGAAAAATGATAATGAACTGGTATCACTATCATCCCAATGAGGAAGAGTCAAAAATATTTAGCCAGTTGCCATGTGGAGTAATGAATGGGAAAGCTGAAGGCTCTGAGGATCTGCATGAATGTATTTGTGAGGAAACACACCTCCCTTTGGTTTCTCTTCTGGTGGAATAAGGTTTGGGGTTGTGAATAATCCAGCCTGCCTCAGACTTGCAGGCCTCCTCCGTTATTGTATGACAAGTCATACAATGATGCTTGAAGTATTTAGGATGCTTCAATGTATGCTATGATTTGGGGTCAAACCTTGAACCACATTTGAGCCTCATGTCAATCACTTATTAGTTATACATGTCTTTGGGTAAAATGTTTAGTATTTCTGAGCCATAGTTTTTTTATTTTCTAAGAAGGAGACAATAATTCCATCTTAAAGCAAAATAAGTATTAGATTTAGATCATGTATAAAATATATATATAAGTATATAATGCATGTGATATGCTTATATGTGAACAATGTACATATGCATTATACTATATATATTTTTAAATACATATGTATACATATGTTTTATATATAAAGTGTGTAAAATCACTCTGTCAACTATTGCCACCCAACTATATGTTCCAGGAGGGCAAGAACTTACTTCACCATGATATTGCCAGGTGTTCAATCAATAATTTGTGGAATGAATGGTTGTAATTAAAATCACATTATGACCATAAGAAAATATTGGGGAAAATCTATAAGACATTGGTCTGGCCAAAAATTTCTTGAGCAATACCCTACAAGCACAGACAACCAAAGCAAAAATAAGCAAATAGGATCACATCAAGGTAAAAAGTTTTTGCACAGCAAAGGAAACAGTCAAGAAAGTGAAGAGATAACTCACAGAATGACAGAAAATATTTGCAAACTACCCATCTGACAAAGATCGATTGATAGCCAGAATATATCAGGGGCTCAAACAACTCTAGAGGAAAAAACTCTAATAATCCATTCAAAACATGGGCAAAAGCAGACATACAAATGGCAAATGGGCATATGAAAAAGTGTTCATCATCACTGATCATCAGAGAAATGCAAATCAAAACTACAATGAGATATTAGCTTATCTCAGTTAAAATGGCTTTTAACCAAAAGACAGGCAATAAGAAATGTTGACGAGGATGTGGAGAAAAGGCAATACTTGTACACTGCCAGTGGGAATGTAAATTAGTAAAACCACTATGAAGAACAGTTTGGAGGTTCCTCAAAAAACTAAAAACAAAACTACTATTTGACCCGGCAATCTCACTGGGGGGTATATCCTGAGAAGAAAGGAAATCAGTATATGGAAGAGATATCTGCACTCCCATGTTGGTTGCAGCACTGTTCACAATAGATAAGATTTGGAAGCAACCTAAGTGTCCCTCAACAGATGAATGGGTAAAGAAAGTGTAGTACATATACACAATGGAGTGCTACTTAGCCATAAAAAAGAATGAGATACTGTCATTTGCAACAGCATGGATGGACCCAAAGATCATTATGTTGAGTGAAATAAGCCAGGCACAAAAAGACAGACATCACATGTTCTCACTTATCTGTGGGATCTAAAAATCAAAACAACTGAACTCATGGACACAGAGAGTAGAAGCATGGTTACCAGAGGCCAGGAAGGGAAGTAGAGGAGTTGAGGGGAAGTGTGGATGGTTAATGGGTATCAAAAACAAGCCAACAGAAAGAATAAATGAGACCTACGATTTCATAACACAACAGTGTGACTATTGCCAACTTAATTGCACATTTTAAAATAACTAAAAGAGGGTAATTGGATTGTTAGTAATACAAAGGATAAATGCTTAGTGGGGATGGATACTGCATTCTCCATAATGTGATTATGACGCACTGCATGCCGGTATCAAAACATCTCATGTACCGTAAAAATATATATACCTACTATGCACCCAGAAAAATTTACATTTTAAAAATTAAAAAAAACTTAAAAATAAAAAATAAGATCACGTTATGTATTAATTAATAGATAGGACTGAATAAAGAAGGCATAATGATATGATTAACATAAGAATAGACACAATAAGTCTGACAATATTTCCTAAAATGATCCTATAGACCTCTCAGGACAATATGTAGCGCAGCTTTGGCCAGTGTGGAGGCAGGTGGTTCACGTTTGCACAACAAGGCTGTGCAGGAAAGATGCCTTCAGGGGAGAGGAGGACTGTCATTCTACCGGAATTTTTTAAAAAATTAAGATAAAATGTATATACATTGACAGTCGACCATAAGCTCCTCATGGATCTCTACTTTCCATCTGGTGCATTTCAGGCTGGCTTTCTGTGGTTTGTTTTCTGCTCCCAAACCTGTCCATTGAGTTCAGTTCAACTCAAGAGTGGCAAGCAGAGTCTATCTCAATTGTCAATTCAGACTGAGTAGTAGTGGATGCTTGAGGCTGGACTCAGTGGAAAAGTGTCGTGATCCAACAGCCGTGTCTCCCATGGGCAAAGCAGCCATAAGTGGTGGCATGCACCCTGCAGTTGCTTCCATCTCTTGGGCTAATCAGATTTTATCTGAATATGAATGCCAAAAAGAAACTCAGACAGCAGCCTTGTGGGCAGGCATGCCTTAGTCGTATGAAAATCACTTGCAAAAGGTCTATAATGCCAGAATGAGGATCTCCACATCGATGTAGCCCCTAAGAAAATCCTTAATGAAAATGTTTTCAGTTTGGGTTCATGCCCCTTTAGCAATAAATTGACCATCCTGATTAAAACAGGGAAGTCTCTATTTCTGGTCTATATTTTGGGAGAATTTTGGCAAAGGCCTATTCTTTAACCCATGGTGTCACCCTGTCATGACTACCACAAAATAGAATTATCATCCAGTTCCCAAGAGACCCTACTGCTTATCTCAAAATACAAAGGGCCTCTATATAAAGGTCCAGTTGCCCAAAAGGAAGACTATTTATGCAAAGATAAATACTTGTGGGACTATCACTTTGCTTGTCCAAACATTTCCTTTGCTCTAGTTACTAAAATAATTTTCTAAATTAAAATACCCTATCTCTTTTCTGCCTGGGCAGAATAACTATTCCAGACCAACACTGGATTATTTCCCCTTTTAAAAATGAGCAAGATCAGACACTGTGCCAACACATGAAATAATTCCAGTCAAATGTCTTTCTGTTTTGCATCTGAAGGAAACATATCTTAGAATACAAAGAGCTCCTGCAAATCAATAAGAAAAA